GATACATTTTTTTTTCAGGATTCTTTGATGAATATAAAGTTAAAAAGAAGAGCATTTATTTAAAATAGAAAGCTTTTCTAACAATATACACTCCAGTTCAAAAGTTTGGGGTCAGTACATTTTTATTCTTTCTTTTTTTGAAAGATATTAAAACTTTTATTCAGCAAGGATGTTTTCAATTGATCAGAAGTGATAGCAAAGATTTATATTGTTAGAAAAGATTTATATTTTGAACAAATGCTGTTCTTTTAAACTTTTTATTCATCAAAGAATCTTGAAAAAATCGCAGTTTCCAAAAAAAAAAAAATTTGGCAGCACAACTGTTGATAATTCTAATAATAAAATTCATAGCCGACTCATCTATGTTCCTCGACAGTTTTCCGCATCCCTCCACCACCCCATCTCCTCACTCTTGGCTTGATCCTATTCCCAGCTAGTGGCACGGCGGGAGTACTCTGGGTTCGGGCCAAATTTCTGAGCTCGGAGCCATCTCCCCTCGGACAGCACGCCAAACATGCATAACCTTTACTCTGTCTGATCATGTGTAAGTGTGAACTCGTGAAATGAGTATATGAGCCCTGCAGTTAAACCTGTGTTAGCGGTGGCCCTTATTCCCACAGTCCTGCATAATCAAACCTTCAGCCCGGACATTTATAATAACCCCGAGAGGCTTGTTTGGTTGTGTATGCATGTATGCATGTATGTCAGCTGCCAGTGTAATTTAATCCATAGAAGTTCATTAGAGAACATAGGTGAGGTGCGTAAAGAGAGAGAGATGAATGCAAGGAAAAAGAACGAGTGCAAGAAAGTTGCAGAGAAAAGAATGCAATGCCACTGACCTTAACGTCTATAAAACTGTCTAAAGAAAAGCAGTTCAATATGGTTTACAATAAGGTTCATTAGTTAACTACTTTAGTTCACATGAACTAAGAACGAACAATGCTTCTACAGCATTTATTAATCTTAGCTAATGTTAATTTTAACATTTACTAATAGCCCTGCAATTAAACCTGTGTTAGCGGTGGCCCTTATTCCCACAGTCCTGCATAATCAAACCTTCAGCCCTGACATTTATAATAACCCCGAGAGACTTGTTTGTTTGTGTATGTATGTATGTCAGCTGCCAGTGTAATTTAATCCATAGAAGTTCATTAGAGAACATAGGTGAGGTGCGTAAAGAGAGAGAGATGAATGCAAGGAAAAAGAACGAGTGCAAGAAAGTTGCAGAGAAAAGAATGCAATGCAACTGACCTTAACGTCTATAAAACTGTCTAAAGAAAAGCAGTTCAATATGGTTTACAATAAGGTTCATTAGTTAACTACTTTAGTTCACATGAACTAAGAACGAACAATGCTTCTACAGCATTTATTAATCTTAGCTAATGTTAATTTTAACATTTACTAATGCATTATTAAAATCAACAGTTGTGGTTGTTAATATTAGTTAATGCACCGTGAATTAACATGAACTAACAATGAACGACTGTATTTTCATTAACTAACATTAACAAAGATTAATAAATACTGTAATAAATGTATTGTTCATTGTTTGTTTATGTGAGTAAATACATTAACTAACATTAACTAATGGAATCTTATTGCAAAGTGTTACCCAATTCTGTTTTTGTAACATTCATTTCTTCTTTTTTCAATGTAATTTATTACAAAAAATAAAAACAACAGTCAATATACCAATTTAGGTCTCAAGGATGTGTTTCATAAAGGGTTACCCTTGTGAAAAAAAAGAAGTGTGCTTATTTGTATTAAATGTGCACTTGTAGTGTACTTCAAATCCTAAGAATATATATATAAAAAAAAGAAAACTGTAATTGTAGATAATTTTAAAGAAATACAAATATTTAAAAAAAATTATAAATAGAAATAAAAAGAAATATAAGGTAAAAATAAAGTTTTATTTTACATTTTAAATAATCTTTTTTCCTGCTTACTTAAGTTATTTTGATGTGTTGACTAACATACTAAAGCACATGATATAAATTTGAACTGTAATGTATTCAATATTACATTTGAAGTTAATATATTATTAAATGTTTTGCAAATTGCATTGCACCAAAAACTTCATTACAAATGTGTAATTACAAATATATTACACACAAGTTTCAATAGAAATTACATTAAGGTACATTTTAGTTTAGCTTGTCAGTACATTCAGCAGCAGTACAGTTTAACCATATTTCATAGACAAAGTAATTCTAAAACTACGTATAAAGATGTACTTAAGTCCTATTTAAGTGGGCCACACTCTAAAGTTCAACTAACTGCATTTAATATCAATTTAAACTATATTAATTTAATTGTAAATAACATGCAAGGAAGTGCATTCAGTTCACACGCAAGAATATTATTTCTGTAATAAATGCTCTTTTTAAAAGTATGCTTATGTGCACCGCTCTTTCAAAAGGGTACGTTACACAAAACACGCCAGCAGTTCTCACTTTATTGCCAAGATTTGTATGCGAGTGAAGGTTATGCTCATAACGATAATCCAGTGAACTGTTCATTAAAATAATGCAAATTGAGTTTTGTTTTTTTGACCGATTCATTTTAAAAACAGCTCATTTCTCTGTGAATCTGCACTGGTTTTGCTGTACGCCTGTTTTTGTGTGAAGACAATGCAATATATAGGTTTTGGGTTTTCATTTGCAGTGGCTGGTCATTTTAACTCTTTCACAGCTCGGGTAATTCTGTTTTTGTAACATTCATTTCTTCTTTTTTCATTGTAATTTATTACAAAAAATGTTATATCAACCAGAAAAAAACAAAAAACAGTTTAGGTCTCAAGGATGTGTTTCATAAAGGGTTACCCTTGTGAAAAAAAAAGAAGTGTGCTTATTTGTATTAAATGTGCACTTGTAGTGTACTTCAAATCCTAAGAATATATATATAAAAAAACTGTACTTGTAGATAATTTAAAAAAACAAACAAAAATCAAAATTATAAATAGAAATAAAAAGAAATAAAAGGTAAAAATAAAGTTTTATTTTACATTTTAAATAATCTTTTTTCCTGCTTAAAATAGTTATTTTGATGTGTTGACTAACATACTAAAGCACATGATATAAATTTGAACTGTAATGTATTCAATATTACATTTGAAGTTAATATATTATTAAATGTTTTGCAAATTGCATTGCACCAAAAACTTCATTACAAATGTGTAATTACAAATATATTACACACAAGTTTCAATAGAAATTACATTAAGGTACATTTTAGTTTAGCTTGTCAGTACATTCAGCAGCAGTACAGTTTAACCATATTTCATAGACAAAGTAATTCTAAAACTACGTATAAAGATGTACTTAAGTCCTATTTAAGTGGGCCACACTCTAAAGTTCAACTAACTGCATTTAATATCAATTTAAACTATATTAATTTAATTGTAAATAACATGCAAGGAAGTGCATTCAGTTCACACGCAAGAATATTATTTCTGTAATAAATGCTCTTTTTAAAAGTATGCTTATGTGCACCGCTCTTTCAAAAGGGTACGTTACACAAAACACGCCAGCAGTTCTCACTTTATTGCCAAGATTTGTATGCGAGTGAAGGTTATGCTCATAACGATAATCCAGTGAACTGTTCATTAAAATAATGCAAATTGAGTTTTGTTTTTTTGACCGATTCATTTTAAAAACAGCTCATTTCTCTGTGAATCTGCACTGGTTTTGCTGTACGCCTGTTTTTGTGTGAAGACAATGCAATATATAGGTTTTGGGTTTTCATTTGCAGTGGCTGGTCATTTTAACTCTTTCACAGCTCGGGTAAAAATCTGATTGTTTTGCTGTGGTGTCGGAGATTCTGATTCACTTCTATTCTGTATCTACACACTCTTCTGAGCTGAATGATGAGGACGCCTCAAAGGTCAATTATTATCGGTACATTAACTAAACAGAACTGCAACACAGGAAGAGAAAAGTGATTAAGGCATAAATTAAAGAAGAAACAAAGCTGAAAACTGCTCGAGCGGCTCTGGCAGGAAACCCAATAATAACAGCTGTAAATATAATTGCATGCAAATGGATATATAATGGTTAGATAGGGATCTATTTTTTCTATTAATAAGTTAATAAAACTAATTATTGGCACATGGATTGATTACTTTGTTTTGAAAACACAGTCTGGTCTTGAGCTGGTATTATGTAACGTCTGCATGTGTAATATATTCTTTGAGAGATTGTCCAGCAGAGATAGGATGTCAGCGATGCAGCGCAGGGTTCAAGACTGATTGTGTTATCATGCTGACAACATCAAATATCAGACGGTCATGGGATCCTTTATGGCTATACAGCAACCCCAAAATCATTGAGAGACTCTTCTTACGTAAGAGTAGACCATTGGCCTGGTCAAGGGGTCAAGGATTGAGCGGTTAAGATGGTCTGTTAACCCTTTTTGGTGAATGCTTTAAAGGAATAGTTCACCCATAAATGAAAAATTGCTGAAAATGTGCTCACCCTCAGGCCATCCGAGATGTAGATGAGTTACATCTCGGATGGCCTGAGGGTGAGGACGTTTTCAGCAAGTGTTATTTATTATTATTCCTTTAACTACACCATTCCACTGCTGTAAGCTACATGTATCAAACAGAAACAATTCTTGCAACACAGTCTGAACACATTTCTGTGTAAATCTATTCCAAGTATAAGCGTAAACAACATAAGCATGGAAAAACCATACTTCATACACATTGCTGCTATAGATGTAAATGGGTCAAGTGTTTCAGATTTAATGGTCTTAACAAATACACCATCATTTAAAATGTTTTTGTATACTGATGCATTTGATGCGACCTTGTATGGAAAAATAGTTTTAGCAGAAATTCGTTCTGCACGTGTTGCATGACTAAAGCTCAATGTCTATATAAGATGTTAGATTAAGAGTGGTGTCTTTTAGGATCTGCACCATTAGAGATGGAAAGATAAAGGAAGAAGAATGTGTACATAGTGAAAGAACAGGATGTGTTCATTTATTTCACCTTTGGAAGGACAACATGCATCCTCAAATAAAACCGATCAAAGTACATTCACATGAATCAAATGGACCCTAAAGCAGCTGATTTCAGCCTGGACGAGCATTAGGAATGAATCTAGGAAATAAAAACAATTGCTTCCTTTATGTTTATGATAGGTGATGCCATTAAAGAGCAGACTACACATTACAGAACGCTGGATATTTGACTGCTACAGTTGAAGATTGTCATTGCATTCACAGTCGGCCTTTCGTTTAAAAGAAAAGCTTAAAGCTTACATGAATGTGCAATTTGCAGCTTTGCTCTTTAACTTTATACTGTCAGTATATGTGACCCTGGAGCACAAAACCAGCCTTAAGTGTCAATTTTACGAAATTGAGATTTATGCACCATCTGAAAGCTGAATAAATGAGCTTTCCATTGATGTATGGTTTGTTAGGATCGGACAATATTTGGCTGAGATACAACTATTTGAAAATCTGGAATCTGAGGGTGCAAAAAAATCTAAATATTGAGAAAATCATCTTTAAAGTTGTTCAAATGAAGTTCTTAGCAATGCATATTACTAATCAAAAATTAAGTTTTGATATATTTATGGTAGGAAATTTACAAAATATCTTCATGGAACATGATCTTTACTGAATATCCTAATGATTTTTAGCATAAAAGACATTTTTTAAATTTTGACCCATACAATGTATTGTTGGCTATTGCTACAAATATACCCCAGCGACTTAAGACTGCTTTTGTGCTGCAGGGTCACTTATTATTCAAAACAATAATTTACAGTAAATGTTTACATCTGGAATCATCCCCATCCACAGTTTACCATCCAAGAGCTTTCAGTGTCAGCGTGGATCAGGAATCTGAAAACGAGTCCATCTTTATTTGTGCTTGCAGCGCTGGCTCCTCTGCCGATAGATCTCCTCCGTGAACGGTCTGCAAACATGAGAAGGTGAGCACAAACACAGATTGTAAATCTCAAGAGCAGCGCGGCGTACCAGCCTGTGCCTGGCTCCTGCGTGAGAGAGAGATGCTTGCCACAAATAGGGCAGAAAATAGGGCCTTAGTCACTGATGACACAACCGATCGTCAGCCAAATGAGGTGCGTAACCTTCAGAAAATGTTAAGAAAACATATGAGCAGTTTTACTAAGTGCTCAAATTAAATTTGGGACATACTAGTTTAAATACAACTGCAATCATTAACTTAAAATTTTTAAAATTCAACACATTATTTAAAAAAAAAAAAATTAAAGGAAATAAAAATGAAAATAAAATAATAAAATAAAATCAAAAGTGATGTAGAAAGGTCCAAATGACACTACTACTACAACAACTACTACTAACAAATTAAAATGTAACATTAAAATTTAAAATTGATATTAAATAAATTATTTACAAATAAAATAAAAAAATGTAAAACTTCTAAACACATTATTAACAATTTAAAATTTTATATTAAATGTGCTAAAAGATAAAATAAATAAAAAATATACATATTCAAAATTAAACACATTATTTAAAAGCAAAATCAAATTTAAATAAATAAAATTAAATAAAACAGTGATGTAGAGAGGTTCAGTTGATGCAACAACCAGGGTGTCACAATTTTAACAATTAACAAACATTAACTCCAAAACCAGAGACATTATTTTAAAATAAAATAAAATAAAATAAAATAAAATAAAAATGTGACCCTGCACCACAAAACCAGTCATAAGGGTAAATTTTTCGAAATTTATACATCATCTGAAAGCTGAATAAATAAACTTTCCATTAATGTATGGTTTGTTAGGATAGGACAATATTTGGCTGAGATACAACTATTTGAAAATCTGGAATCTGAGGGTGCAAAAAAATCTACTCTGCACACTCGGCCAGACTGCTAATAAGCTGTTGTTGTTTTTGTTTTAGTGCTAATAAAGTTAAATTCTCTGACCGTCTCGGTCGCCATAGAGACTTGACAGTGTATGTGTGAGTTTGAGTTTGAGTCCCATAGTTATTCCTGTCTCTACGGAGGAAAGTTGGCAGCTTTTCTGCTTAACCTTTCATTGCCGCAGTAGAGTCGTCGAGCGGCTGACCTTTACTCGCATCTTTTTTAGCGCGTCTCAGACAGTCGTTTGTGTAAGTAAAAAGGGAATAAGAACATGGCTGTGTCAAAAGCAAGTTTTTTTATATGCTTCATGCTTTTATATGTTTCAATAGCACAGTTTTAACCTTTTACAATCAAACTTTAGGTTACACTTTAATTTAAGGTGTCCTTGTTACAGTGTAATTATACATTTAAGTACTGAGTAATATTAATTAACTACATGTACTTACTATATGGTTAGGGTTAGGGTTAGGATTAGGGTTACTTGCATGTAATTATGCATAATTAATTGTTATTATAATAGTAAGTGCATGTAACATGTAACAAGGATACCTTAAAATAAAGAGTTACCAAACTTTACACTGGAATATAGATGAACTCAACAACTGAAATCTCCCTGCTTGTTATGGTATTATATATTAAATTGTTGGAATTTAATTTATGGAATTTATGAAATTTAATATAGAAATGATTATGTTTAACTGAGTTTTATAGAGGCCAAATTAACTGACATAAAGACATTGTTTTTATTGAGGTAGTTTCCTGACTATTTATAATTGCATAACTTTTATATATACAATTATAAATATATAAACATAATAATTATAATTTAGATTTTTTTTTTAGATCTTAGGACAATCTCTAGCTTTCCAAACCTGTAAAACTATGTGATCTTTTTTTCTGATATCTGAACTCATGACCACCCACTGTTAAAATGTTTGATTTGATCTATATAAAAAGACCAAATTAATTGTTATTATTATTGTTAATACTTTTTCAAAGGGGCCAATTCATCATTGTTTCTTTTTTTCTTTTTTTTTCTTTTTTATATAAATGGCTCTTTTCACACTTGCATAGCTTTCTGATGTCTTATGTCGTGTTTTTGTGCTTTTGCTGGTTGTGTAGCACCTACAGCTCTAGATGTCATTTTATGAAAGTTCCAATATTTAATACACAAAAATATTAAATCAAAAACAAAGTCTCTTTTTGGATAAATTTTTTTTCAAGTGGAACTCAAGGGAAAATGATAATGTACATTATAACCCCTATAAGGTAAATCCAATTATTTCAGAATCGATCATATATGGATTATGATACTGATAGCACACTTACCCTTCAAATGCAATAGCTACTTTATAGGACAAGTCGACCACTGCGGTCAGGATCACTCCGATAGGACTGGCATTCCTAAGACACACACACACACACACACACACACACACACATGTTCACTACACTCTTTTCTTCATGCATTGGTCAATTTTGAGCTATATTACGTCTATAGCATATCTTCTTTTAGACTAGTAGGGGGAAAAAAAACATTCAAAATACACATTTAAGTGCTTATTTTATTACAATTTATCTATTTGCGCCTGTAGATTTCAATTACAATACATATCCAGAAATCAGTAGCATTTACATACACCGAACTTTACAGCTTTATTCTGAACATTTAACTCTTTCTGGCAGTATCTTAAGAAATCCAAAATTCCCTCTGAAAAAAACTTTAATATATCAACAAAATCAAACCAGAATCTGGCTTTATCTAATGTTCAGATTTCTGTTCTGGAAATGCATCCATATTATTAGTGCATATTTAATTAAATAATGTCTCTTTTAATATTCAAGCATAATATTTTAGAAAACTTGTAATACAAACAAGTTTCTTACGAAACAGCAGTCTATGTTCGCACACACACACTCACTCACTCACTCACTCACTCACTCACTCTCTCACTCACTCACACACAGTCTCACACACAGTCTCACACACAGTCTCACACACAGTCTCACACACAGTCTCACACACAGTCTCACACACAGTCTCACACACAGTCTCACACACAGTCTCACACACAGTCTCACACACAGTCTCACACACAGTCTCACACACAGTCTCACACACAGTCTCACACACAGTCTCACACACAGTCTCACACACAGTCTCACACACAGTCTCACACACAGTCTCACACACAGTCTCACACACAGTCTCACACACAGTCTCACACACAGTCTCACACACAGTCTCACACACAGTCTCACACACAGTCTCACACACAGTCTCACACACAGTCTCACACACACACACACGCACACGCATGTAAATATACTAATCCAAACAAAAAGTTTTCAACAATGATTCATGCACACTATATTGTTTACATTCAAGTTTATAAAAGCAGTGGCTGTATCTGAATATGTAATATAAGGGCCGGCTACTTAAAGTGTATGTGTGTCTCAGTCTCTCCCTTGACCTGTTTCTACTGTTGTTAAGCAGAAAATACAGTCAGTTACTGATCATATTGTTGAATTCTCCTCCCTTCTGTTCATGAAAACAGCTTTTGATAAAAATCGTAACTGAAAACCATTTGTGCGTCAGTGCAGTAACTGCAGTCATAATGTAACAGAACCAGACAAACACCGGACACAGAAAGCCGTTTTCAGGAAGAATCTGAAAAGATGCAAGCCATTTTAGACGTAATTATCTGCACATAAGCCAATTAACTAGAATACCATCACATATTCAGTACAAGAGATAAGAATTACTGTAATTATGAATAATGTAAAACTAAAAGAATAACCTTCAGAGCAACAAAGCAAAATAGCTGATGGGTCGTCTCTGCAGGGTTTAAAGCTACAACATTTTGGGTTTTAGTCCAATCTTTAATCAGAATTTCATTTAATTTTCAATTAATTCATTTGGAAGGTCATACAACTTACAAAGCAAAACTTTGGGGCGTGTAAGATTTTTTAATGTTTTTAAATAAGTCTCTTATGCTCAGCAAGTCATTTATTTGATCAAAACATACAGTGAAAACAGTGATATTATGAAATATTATAGTTAATATAGTTAACTAAAACAAAACAAAATCTTTGTTAAAATAAACATTGTAAAAAAAAAAGGTTAAATGAAGTAAAACATAATACTTAAAAAATATACATTTTAGGAATGCTCTCAAAAACTCTACGTCCTGTCAATTAATAAATGTATAATTTATAAACTATTACAGCAACACCTTCAGCTTGACTAGAAGATCAGTGATGAATACTTTCCCATACAGAGAGACAAAGGCAGACATTATTTTGTGGAAGATAGAAGGGTGAATCTCACCAAACCTGTCAAGAACATGTTTCATTCAAACTGAACCCCAAAATCGAATGAATTAATTTTATTTGGCAAAACAAAGCCTGTTTGAGAACCTGTTTTCAGTTCATTTACATGCATTGTGCTATTATTCTAATTTAAGCAATGCATAACAATCTCATTCTTATTACTGCAGTACAAAGTAACAATAAAAATAAATAATAATACACTCTAAAAAATGCTGGGTTGTTTCAACCCAACTTTGGGTCAAATATGGACTAACCCAACCATTGGGTTAACTTTTTACATTAAATTTTTAACCCAAAAGTTGGGTTAGTCCATATTTGACCCAAAGTTGGGTTGAAACAACCCAGCATTTTTTAGAGTGTAATAATTACAATATATTATCTGAAGAAATAAATTACTTGTTTATCATGGTATTATTTGTTTTATCTTAATTCATACTGATTTAGATTGTAATTCTACATTTTCAGTAATGAATTGTAAAGTATGCATTCATCATATATTGATTTATATTTAAGTAATTAAAATCACCTTTGAGAATAATGGGAATTACATATATATACTTCTAGACTTATTACAATGATGATAATCAGGATGGAAATGCTTAACTGTCATGTAAATAAAATAAAATAGAAATAATTATTTTAAATAAATTAAAAATAAAATAAAATTACATTTAATAAAAAAAAAAAATTAATGCAAGAAAAGACATTATACTTCATTGTTTAATGCAAAATATAAAATTGTTTCTTTTGATTTTAGGGTGAAGTGTGAGGTATTTCATGCGACTGGCTGGTTTTCTTGAGGTCAGGGTGGCCTAACATGCATGTTTCTGCTTTGTTTGTCTGGGTTTATTGTCTCCTGACAGATACTTACCCTTAGATAACCACTCTTCATCCTCCGCCTGCGCTGCTGCTGGTTAATTATTAGCTTCGACAGATGAAGCTCTAACAGTGTGACCTGGTTAAGGTCTACTTTAGTTCGTTCTTCACACTTTTACGCAGTCTATGGCCCTCGAAACAAGTTCTTGCCATTGAGACACACTTTTTAGAGCAGCATCTAATTCACTAGTTATTTGCAATGAAATTATTTAATTATTAAACGGCCGAAATTAGTTATTTGTGATTCAGCAGTGAACGCATGCATATAAACAAGCATGGAAACTGATTTTATTAAGGCCTTTGACATTTTTTTTTCGACTCATGTCGAGAATCTGCTCCACAAAAAAAATTTCTTTTCTTTAAAACCTTAAATTTCCTACAGTAGAGCGTTAACTTACTGAAAAGGACAGATGTGGTATATTCACATGATCTGACCTTTTCCTTTAACTCATTTTCAATGCAAACTGAACTTTTTCGTGCTGTGAAACCCAGTGCCGAACTACATTATATAAGCTTCTGGGAAACATTCATTCAATGCAAATATGACTTCTTCAGAGAAAGACATCAAGTGCCCTTCATAAATGACCATTTGGGTTAATCCCATCCTACTGGCCAATCAAAACCAGAATATCTAATGAAAACAGTGATGTCGAGCACCTCTGGGCGCAGTATAACGTGAAGCTCATTACCCAAACGGCAGCCTTCATTGCAATAAATATTAATGACAGTTCAGTCTTGACCTAATTGCGGCCTCACCGAGGGAATAAAAGACCGGGAACTGGGTTAATATGAAGCTTTAAGGAGACTTCTGTCATCATATCTCGCCCTCATGTCTTTTCAAACCTGGACGGCTTTCATAAAAGTGATCCATTCATCTTCTGAAGCCATAAGAAAGGAATCAGTAACGGAGCAGCTGAACTGGAGATCTGAATCAGGAAGATTCATGAATGATTCATTCAGACCAGTTTTGTGAACCAGATCAGGTGATTCAGTGATTCAAACGATTCTGATTCGAAAGAGTGATTCTTCTTCACCAGCAGAAGAATATACAGCCCCGCATAAGTCTTATGAAATACTTTTATGATGTTTTTATGCATCCAGGCTCCATATTTAGGCCTAAATTTAAGATTTATGTATTTGAATCACAATTTGAAATCATTTCCATGCATTTGGATTGCAGTTTTAACAAAGTACCCAGTTAACAGGGAACGTTCTGGCAAGGTTTTCTCAAAGTTATGAACAAACATTATTTCAACGTTAATTCTGAGTTATCTGGTCTTTAATAACATTCTCAAAGCAAACTTTTTCCTGAAACGTTTGATGGACGTTCATCTAACATTTTTCAAATGTTACAATTTTGATTCAGAACATTCCAAAAAAATCAAAAGTAACATTCCTAAAATGTTTTAAAACTGAGAATTCCTTGTTTGTATCACCAAGGGGGGGAAAAAAAGTTTTTAAAACATTTAAACGTTTTGAACATTCAGAAATAACGTTTTCATGGGAAAACATTCTTAGAACATGTTTTTGTTAACTGCGTTAACTTAATGTCATGCATATTTATGTCACGCAAAAATGAAACGGGTCAGATTTCTGTAATAGTACTAATAACTGAATGTGTTTTAAATGCACAACAACCAGGTTTATATATTTATCATCAATATTTATCATATTTATGCCATGATTTTTGAGTGCAGAAATCGGACCCATTTCTGTATGACTCACAAATCTGCATCACTTAAAGTTTATTAGTTTATGTTAATTAAAAATGTGATGGAAATTTGGAAATGCAATGCAAATACACATATCTTAAATTCAGGCTAAATATATTTTTTAAGTGTAGCTGCATGGACTACAGTGATAAGCTGTAAGCCAACCTTTATGGTTATGAAACGCTTCTTTTCAAGCATTTAAACTTCATCTTTTATGATTCCTGCGCACATCGACCCAGTTTTTGAGCTCCGGATGCTGATATACAGAGTCTTAGTCACAGGTCTGTAAAATAATGACCAAAATTGCTTAAAATGACCTCCTCAAAGTCTTCCTCATGTCCGCTCACATTTGTTTGTGCATTAGTTACCTAACAAGCGGCCTTCTGCATCATGAGAGGAAGTAGGTTAATCTGATGCAGGTTGGAGTGGAGGAACATGGAGGAAAACAGGCAGAATCTGCAGGCTTTTTCTGCCAATATTGTG